TCTCCAACAAACTTTATATATTGCGATTCTCGCAGAGGGGACGCCTCCACGGGCAGTTCCATTTGCAATTCCTGTGAGGCTCATATTTGTGATAAGGCGGCCGACAGCTATGGAGGATGTGTGAGTTCCATGTCCATCACTATCCCGAGGGGAGGGTATGTCCATTTCATGTATGTTACCTTGAAGGTGGTAGTACCGAGCTCCAATAATCTTACTGTGCGTTGGTAATTAAGTATTGTAGTATTAGTAATTTCATATAGCTATGGTATAACTACTTTTTATAAGTATAAGATGATGACGAGCATTAATTACTTATTGCATGTGAAGTTCTGATTAGACTGACATATACCCTTCCACCTACTTGGTGGAAGGCCAAAACCGGCATCGTCGAAGCTCTTTGACTCAGGCCAGATCCCTGTGTCGATCATGCCGATAATAACATCAGACTCAAAGGATGCACGTGGAACGCTCAATGGAAAACCCATGAAGTTCCATGATCTTGTGGTGTGAAGTTGTCTTTGCTTGCTTGGGAACACAGAAACCAATCCTTCCATTCCTGAGTTCATAAAGCACATCAATTTGTAAAAATTAATATTTCACAAGCCAAAAAATTTTCATTCATAACATTTCATTTATGACTGCTATTCTAGCAAGTTTTTAGTTGATTTATATTTGTATTTATATTACCGGATAACTTCCTTGCTTCTTCATCTGACAGCATAGCGGCAAAGCCATGAAAACTCTTGGTATAACTATATATATGTCTGTTCGACGCTTCTTGGTTGCTACATTCAACATTAATTTTGAATGAAAAATGCATATTTATATATAAACAAAAACAATAATTAGATATTTGATAAAACAATAAACAATCAAATCGATGTCAGTTTAGAAATCTTGTTATTTCAATCGGTACAAGAAAAATCAAGAAAAAGATAAAATTGGGGACTTGTTTCGACAGATCACCTTAATCCAATAGCTTTCTGGAGCAGTTCTAAATGTGCTAATTGTGGCAGGCCAACGAATTCTCTTGGCTTTTCTCCCATATACACGATATAAGGCTGTTGATTTGTTCACATTAATAAATTACATGCAATTGTGATAAATAAAAGAAAATTAAATATATTATGTGAAATTAATATTTCAATCATACTCTTTGGTTGGGCTCTGTGGTCTCCGCATGGCCTCTGAGAGCCTTCATTGCAAGCATTAGGAGAAGAAATGAAGATAGCAAAGGGAACGAGTGCCGATCCATAATTGCAATTAATTTTGAGTTTGAGGAGGAGAATCCCAATTTGTTACTGCCATTCTATGGAAGGATGACAGGTTTATATAGGCGCTTTTGTATATATTTATTAACTAAGAGTTTCCGTTGAGATGAAACCACTTAAGCTTTGAATTCTTCGCAAGTATTAAACATTGACATTTGTTAAAGAGCTATGAGTACGTTTTTTGTTGGAGGAATGCTTACGGAACAACTTTGTTTTTTATTAACAAAGATAAATGTTTTTTTTTAAATTAAAAAAAAAATGCTTTTGTACTTTCTTTGATCAGATTATTGTAATGGATAAGTTGCTCACTATTATTCATATATATTACAAATCTACACGATTATCTGCAAGTTTTTAAAACAATAATGGAGGCCTGTTAATGATAATTTTTTTTTGGAGTATTTAGAAGAATGGAATGCGGATTGCATAAGAAGAAATTAAAACAAGTAGTGGAGGCCTGTTAATGATTTTTTTATTTTTATTTTTTTGAGTATTTAGACGAATGGAACACAGATCCACCGAGCCACGGCTTAATCCACCTATTAATAATGGCCCAAATGCAATCATTAGAGATGTTGTCATTTAAACTCGTAATATTTTTCTATTTAAAATAAATTATTTGTTAAAAGAAGTATTTTATTGTGTCGTATCTGCAAGGCATAAGCCATCAGCTAAAAAGTATGAATCTAATTCTTGATAAAATGATACTAAAATATTTTCTCTTTGGGTAAAGTAGTTCTCGATTTTGAACAACAAAGCCCATTTGGAATGTTCAACCCATAATTTAGATTACCAAATAGCTTTCAAACATGACATGTTTATACTTGAATCGAGGGGCTCGACGAGACGAATCCAACAAGCACAGGATGGTCAAATTCAGATATCATTAAGGCATTCAATTACCAAATAAATGGACCATGATCGAGGGAATTCACATTAGCCATCCATTCAAACCACTCCCAAATTACCCTTGATCTTCCTCCTATTTACTGGTCATGCCACTCTCAGAAAATTATAAATAGATCCCTCATTTATCATAGAAGGGGGGCCCCGGGGAAGGAGGTCCAAGCAAGAAGAGAAGGAAGAGTTCCCTTGACACCAGACTCGTCCTCGACCACCGTTGGACTTCAGCCCGGCTACCAACTATCGTCGGAATTTCGCCCATCTACCAGCGGGAGCCAAATTTCTGCCCAACCACCAACTGATGCCATATCTCTACCTGGCGACCGACTGATGTCAGACCTCTGCCCGTCGCCAGACTTTAGACGGACTTATATCCGACACCAGACCTCCACTCGTTGTCGGATTTTCAACCCGACACCGAATTTCTATCCATCGACGAACTTCTACCCAATGCTGAAATTCTACTTGACACCAGATTTTGTCAGACTTCAATCTAGAGCCGGACTTCTGTATATCACCGAACTTATACCCGATGTCATCCTTCTGACCTCCGTTGCAGGACAATGGTCCTTTCGACCTTCGTTGCCTACCGATTACGGTCCTTCCAACCTTCGTCGCCAGAAAATGATCTTTCTGACCTCTGTCGCATACTGACTATCGTCCTTCCGACCAAATGAATACATCAACAGTGATTCTTTCTATTTTCACCATGTAATACACTTTGTATGATGTATATTTGTTACATCAACCCAAGGCCTTCCCCAAAGGAAGGGCCTCATTTGTAATTGACTACAAATAATAATGGATTCATTCAAACTAGGCCAGGACCCATTATTTTTCCCTTTTTCAGGGTTTTCCAAGTAAAAAATCTTGGGGTCTCTTTTGAATGCTACACCCTCTCTTTTTATCTATATTAAGTTTAATAAAATGAAGTGTGTCCTTAAATAAAAATTTTTTGTCCACTTTATTATTTGACACGGGCACTTTTGAGCTCTCCTCTACTGGCCTAAACTACACTTGGTATAATCAAAGAGTTGAAAACCCCATTCATATCAAATTAGATAGAATGTTGGTTAATTTTCTGTAGCTGGACAAATTTCCTTCTTCTTATTATAAAGTGGAACCTCTTGGAATTTCTGACCATTCTCCTCTCATTCTTCTCCTTGGGCATTCCAAACCTTTTGGTGACAGATTCTTATTCAAAAACTTTTGGATTAACATGGATGGTTACTGGGATGTGGTTATTTCAGTGTTTGCCAAGCATTGTGAAGCTAGCCCAATTGCTAACATGTACCATAAAATTAGACACCTCAAACTCATATTAAAACATAAATTTTGGGTTTCTTTTTTCCTTCATTAAGAATAGCATTGAGATGCTGGAGTATAAACAAAAGTCTGTCTTGAGCAGATCAACATTAGTCCTTTGGATCATGGCCTGAATAATTACCTCAAGCAAATTAACACATCCCTTTCTGCTTATAACAAAGCTTGGTGTTCATGGACCATTAAACGCGCTAAAGCCAAATGTCTTTCTCAAGGAGAATATGATTTGGGCTTTCTCTATGCCAAAATAAAATACAGAAGTAAGGTAAATCGTATTAAAGAGATTACTACCTCTGAGAGGCATTTATCTTCCCCTTTGGTGGTTGCTAATGCTATGATTCAGCATTTCCAAAGCTTATTCAACCCTTCTTGCCAGAGCTTAGCCACCTCTCATGCTAGTCCCTTTGGTACCAAAGTTCCTGAGCATCTTGTGGACTCTCTTGTCAATCCAATAACTGATTCTGAGATTAAAAATGTGGTTTTTGCTGGTGCTCACAACTCTTCTCCGGTGCCGGACTGTTTTACTTTTGAATTCTATAAAATCTCTTGGGATATCATTAGTTTTTATGTTTGTCAAGCTATTAAGAACTTTTTTAACACTGGTCATCTCCCCCACTATGTTAAAGCTACTGCTATTGTTCCTATTCCTAAACTACTACCGCATTGCTCACTTTAGACCTATTGCTCTATGCAACACTTTTTACAAAATTATAGCCAAGATCATTGCTAACCGCTTGAAAAGAATTATGCCCATCATCATTCATAAAAGTTAGGCCGATTTTATTCAGAACAGATTGTCCTCTGACAACATTATTCTTGCTTCTGAAATGTTGAGAGATTTTAGCTCTAATTCCAGTAATAAATTCTTTTGTGTCAAACTTGACATCAAAAAATCATTTGACTCTATTTCTCGAGAGTTTATCATTGATAGATTGCAAGACAAGAGATTTCCCAATAAATTCATTTCTTGGGTTAAAGGCTGCATTTTCGACGTCGCTTTTTCTATTAATCTTAATGGTAAATTGGAGGGGTAATTCAACTCTACTTTGGGCCTTAGGCAGGGTTGCTCGCTTTCACCTCTACTTTTTGCTATTGTCATGGATGCTCTGTCGTGTGATTTGGAAGCTGAGTAACTTCATGGGCTATCCATGTGGGACTCAATCCATTAGCCACTTACTCTATGCGAATGATGTTCTTGTCTTTGGCAAGGCTACCCTTCTTAATTCCCAGGCTCTCAATGACACTGCATAATTTCACTTCCATTTCTGGGCTTCGGGTCAACAAGAATAAGTGTTCCATTCTATTTTCAAACAGAAGTCAGGAGAATATTTTTATATCCAATGTGATTAGATATCATACTGCTGAGGTGACCATGAAATATCTGGGGATACCTATTGCTCTTAAAAAATTATCTGTTTCTCACTTACAACCACTACTGAGTAAGTTTTCTACTCTACTTGATGGTTTGAAAGTCAAATTTTTATCTTTTGCAGGTAGAATACAGTTCCAGAAATTTCCATTGCCAATAATATTGCTTGCTGGATTAGAGGGGCAATTTTACCTAAGGGGTGTTGCAAATTCATTAATAAAATTTGCTCTAAATTTCTTTATCATGGGAACCTCTCTTACAAAAAACTTCATCTGATAGCTTGGAAAAACACATGCATTCCCACTTCCTTTGGGGGTTTGGGAATTCCTAATATTCCCTCTATGTGATTTGGTTATGCTTGTTCCTTTATTTGGAGCTACTTTAACAACTGCAACTCTCCGGTGGCCTCTTGGTTTAGATATAAATTTTTATCTCCATTCAAAAAGCCTCCTCCTACTGCTTCTAAGTTCTGGAAGTTTATTTGCTCTTCTGCGGGCATTATCAAAAACAAACTTATTTTCAATGCCTCTCCCTCTAATTGTAATCTCTCTTTTCTATGGGACCCTTAGGTGTTTGGAAGCTCTATCTCTAACCATTCCACTGGCTTTGGTGTTATTTCAGATTACCTATCTAGGGGAATATGGAGGATTCCCCCACTGCTAGACGCTAATATTGTGCCTATTGTTAATTCTGTACAGCTGAATGACGGTCCTCTTCCTTTATGTTGGAATGGTGATGGGCAACCTATCTTTAATACGTTTAAAATGCTTTTTTTTTATGATTATGTTAAAGTTGATTGACATAGATTTGTTTGGCATAAAAAGGGGACCTTAAGATTTTCTGCTTATGCCTGGTTAGCACTCAAGGATGGATTAAAAACTATGGAGGTTTTGGCAGCCAGGAATATCTTTATTCATGCTACCTGTCCTCTTTGCTCTAAAGATAACGAAAGCATCAGTCACCTCTTATTTCAATGTGATTTTTCATTCCATATTTTGTTGGTTTTGTTGCCCAATGTTCGTGGGTTTCTTTTTAGACCCTCTTTCTGCAACTTTTTGAATTTTTGGATGAAGTTCAGAATTTTAACTCCATTCAGAAGAACTTCTCATTTTTTTGTTGTGTGCTGCTTGATTTACTACATCTTGAGGGAAAGAAACGATCGTAGATTCTCTAGTTCGCATTCTACTCCTGCTGCTGTGTATCAAAAGATTGTTTATGCCATTACTGCTAAGTCTACTAGATGGAAGAATTTGGATATCTTAAGACACTTGTTTCCATCATGCTTCTCTTCTCATCTTCACGATCACGATGGTTCGATTTGGGTCTCTGGGCAATGATGAGTCCAACTGGTTATGTTTTTCTCCCCTGGAGGGCCTCGATCTGATTATGCACCTTTTCTAGCATTTGGCCTGGCATTTTGCTTCTCTGGACTGGACCGTTTTTTTTTTCTGTTGCAATCTGCAGCCTGCTGGTTTCGATGGAAATCGGGGGGAACGTGTTGCTCATATTTTGTCACAGGCTTTGAGCAGCTCTTGCTTTGATCTAGCTTGGTACCGGTTGGAATATTACCTGAGCCCTTCGGAGACATTTTTGTCCTTTATTTTTGTGTTTACAACTATATTTACATGTATATCTTTGAGTTATAATTTTACTTTCTCTTTGTAACACCTTTTGATCAATATATGGGCTTTGCCCCAAATTTTCCCAAAAAAAAAAAAACTTTATTATAATAATTACACCTTTTTGATCCAATGGTTAAGATGTCGGATGAGATAATAATGATAACTTTGGACTGTCCTTTGAATCAGCTTTTTGCAAAAAAAAATGATATGCAGGTTTTCCATAAAAAGGCATATGCAGAAGGGTTAATATGACTATTGGAGCTAGTGAGCAGATTCAATTTGAGCCCTTTGATTAAGGGTTTTTCAAAAAAAAAAAAAACTCAATGTGAGTCATCAGATGACAGTTTTTGCTAAGCGATGGCCATTCTACTCTAGCTAGTGGGCGGCTAATAAAACCAGGACAAGGTTAAGCCCCCATTTTTTGGTCCCACTACACTTCTCTTGACTCTCTAGGAAGCGGAGACTTCTCTCGAAAGGGGAGATTCACGCAGCAACCGCTCCTCTAGGGCATCTCCAACCGAGAACCCCATTTTTCACAAAACAAATACAACAAAACTTCAAAATGCAGTAATTCTGCTCCAATCGAATTCCAATTTGTGGGCTTCCTTTGTTGTAACTTTCATTCTCCATTTCTCGGGTAAATCCTGTCGACACATTAAAATTTAGCGGGTGAACAGTGCGACGTCAATATTGGCGTCGCACTGTTTATCAGCAATCAAATGCTGGAGAGAAAGGCGTTTGGTTGCGACATTTGAGGGCCTCCATTCAGTTGTTTGCCGAACGGCTAGAGATGGTCTAACGGCCGAGTGGCTCACTGCACTCTACACTCCACCGATCAAGCCGCTAGCTCGGACCGAGGCGGAACTCCTCACATTCATGTTTCTGTTGTTTGTAAAATCTGAAGCCTTCTCTGTCGCTTGCTCTGTCGGAAAAAATAAGAGGAACCAAAGCCTTCTTGTCCTAGTCTCTCCTCCGCCAAAGCTTGCTCGCGACCCATCCTAGCCGAACCCGTCGGATCTTCATCGCCAACCTGCCCAAGCCACTAGTTTTCCCCTTTGCTACAGGTGATCTTCCTCGTCCTTTTTTCTTTTTCTTTCTCCTTTACTTCTTCTTCTTCTTCCTAACTCCTTTCTTCTCCATCTTTCCTATCCTCATCATCACCATTCTATGTAAGGAGAATGTATACTTGTAAGTAATTTCTATTTTTTTTTTGGAATGAGAGTATTAGAGACAAATGATTTGTTCAATAATGTAACATGAACATTTTATGAATGAAATGTATATTTGTTTTATGATTACTGTCATACAGTTTGAAGTTTTATTTTTAGGTTGTAAAAAAAAATCATGGGAAGATATGATCTTTTTTTTACAAAAAAAAAAAATGAATGTAAGGTATTTGATTAAATGCCTTAAAATGATCAACTTTCTAGTTTTTTCTATGTAAAATCCCAAAGGCATATGTATATCCAAAGAAATGTTGATTAGATTAGAAAGATTTTCAAATACACGTTTGACACATTTGCACTAGTTACATGGGTTCGTTAGCAGGCTTACACTTGTATGTTGGTTGTGAGGTCATCTACCTAATTAAAAAAAAAATGTATGTGTATTTATAACTTTGGTTGAATTTACACGTGTCCATATTTTACATTTCCATATTATGTTTGCACATCGAATGGAAAGTTTATGCACTAATTATGATAAAGATCCTTTTTTTTTTTGGGAAAATTTTGGGCAGAGCCCTTTTTATTGAAATAAAATGAAACAGAACAGTAAACAAAAGTTCAAGGTGACAGAACAAAATACTTCAAAGAGAAAAAATGACCCTCATTCTATAACAATATAGAATGATGAAACGAAAAAAGAATGACAAACAATATTCTGCAGTAACGCAAAAGAATATATGAAAGAGATCCGTCTCCACGATCATCCAGAGAAATCAGACTTCGTCCAATTATAAGCATTAACTCATTCCAGCAGCAGCATAGTTGGGCTACAACATAGTCTTTGCCACCAAATTCTGGGGGCCAAAGCAGAACTTTCACAGCTACGTCAAACTGTCCCAGAAAACATCCGGTCGTTGAGACCCAGAGCATCCCAGAATCTTCGTTCCTGAAACAGCAATAGCTACAGCGGATAGAGGTGCTCAATATGAACAAATATGAACTCATCAGAATCTCAGAACACAGAAAATTTAGTATAAAAATAGCGAGCCTTTACTCTGGTTTCCCAAAAGCCATCCAAGAGTAACAAAAGTTAGGCTATCAACATCATTTAGGCCAAAAAGTACCGCCTAACAGCATCCTTCTCAATCTTGTGCCATAGAGAAACTTGGAAATCATACAGGAACAAACTCCCTACAGTCAATTAGAGTTTTCCTTGTATTCCCATTTAAACGTCTTTAATCTCACTTCTTTAGCAATTTCAACTGCCAAGGTGGTGAAACACTTGGCAGTAGCATTAAACCTTCGGTTATTTCTTTCCCTCCACAAATGGTAAACAATGGCATTGAATAATAAGAGATTGAATGGCCATTTCTTACTTTCACCCGGCAACCCCCCAATAAAATCAAGAGTCTGGGACACATTGGGCCTTAACAAAAAGTTTTGAAGAGCAGGTATGAGCCTAATAAGAGTGTTATAGGAATAATCACAATCGAAAAATAAGTGTCTAATGGATTTTGGTTTATCCTGACAGAAATGACACTTTGGGTTGTCAATATTAATACCTCTCCAAGCTAGAGCCTCAGCAGTTTTTAGCTTATCAAGAATGGCCATCCAAGTGAAAATAGAAAATCTGGGAGAATGCCTCTTATGCCACACCAGATGGGACCAATCCACAACATCTTGATTTTCAAAGAAATTCAAATAGTAATCCTTATAAGAATGCTTAGTATTTCCTTTCCAGGTAATACTAAGAGCATTATTCAAACCCAGAGGAATTTTATTGATAAAATTCCTAATGTCCTCCCTGAGAGATTCAGGTATACACCAATTCTCATTATGAATCCAGTTATCAATGGTTTCATCAACCTTGCAAAAATTGAGAGATGAGAGCTCAGGGAATTTGCAAATCAAGCTTTCCCCCATACACCAATGATCCCACTTGATCGAAGCCTTGCATAAGTGGTAAGGAGAGAAAAGGAAAAAAGTTTTAGCCTTTTCAGCAGACTTACAAATACCTTTCCAAAATCTTGTCTTATGCTTTGTGTTACTTTTCCAAGGCGAATTGTACCGTGCTAGCAGAAATTTCGATAAAGGATTTGCAATATTGTACATTCTACTAATGGTAAAGCAATTATAAGCATACCTCATTGCTTCTAAAGATGTAATACTGAGACTGCCATTGCTATAAGGTTTACAAGTGTTCTACCATGAAATAAGATGCATACCTTTCCTTGTTTGATTTCCAAAATAAAAAAATCTGGCACAAGCTTTATTAATACTTCTAATAATAGGATTAGGGACAAAAATTGCTCTAACCCAATATGCAATAGTGTTTGAAATAGTGTACTTTATATACTGCATTCTGCCAGCAATGGACAAAGAGTTAGCTTTCCAACCAGTAAGTAGAAAAGTTATCTTTCCCAGTGGAAATAGGGATCCCAAGATAATTAAACTTATTAGTAACATTGGGAATTTTCAGAATATGAGCCAATTCCATTATGTTAGGCGTGTGCTGAGAAAAGGAGACAGAACTTTTTTGATTATTCGTATAAAGACCAGAGCAAGCAAAAAAATAATCCAGTATGTCAATAAGATTAGAGCAGTTAGAATTGTTAGCTTCTCCAAAAACAATTAAATCATCAGCGTATAATAGATGCGATATATGAAAATCTCCCACTGAAATACCCTTAAAATTTCTCATGTTAGCATGTTCATCTATCAAGCAAGAAAAGCTATCCATTAGAATACAGAAAAGATATGGGCTGACAGGACAACCCTGCCTTAAACCTGTTGAAGAAGGGAAAAAACCTTCAAGCGATCCATTCAAGCAAATGAAAAAATTAACGTTTGTGATGCATGTCTTGATCCAATTAGTAAATACATTAGGAAAGCCCTTCTGAGTCATTCTAGAAATAAGAAAATATCTGGAAACAGTGTTGAAAGCCTTCTTGATGTCAAATTTAGCACATAAGTATTCTCTTCTAGTATTGTTGAACATCTTCATAATTTCATCAGCTAGAATGGGATTATCAGTAGCCAATCTATTAGAAATAAAGGCAGATTGGCTCTTATGATATAAAAGGCATTACCAATTTCATCTAGTCAGCTAGAATCTTAGCTATGATTTTGTAAAAAACACTACACAAGGCAATAGGCCTAAAATCATCAATACTGCAGGCATGTTTATTTTTTGGAATCAAGACAAGAGCCGTAGGCTTGGCACCTACAGGTAGATAATTCTTCAAGAAAAATGATTGCACTGCTCTGAAAACATCGTTGCCTATGATGTGCCAACACTTTTTATAGAAATCAAAATTATATCCATCTGGTCCAGGTGCAGAGTCCGAATGCCCAGCCAAAACAACATTTTTTACTTCCTCAAAGGTGACAGGTTTAATCAGAGCTTCAGTTAGATGGATCGGGAAACTAGATCCAGTAGGAAAGTTGCTTTCATCCGCAGATGCATAGTTATTGTGATTCACTAAAACCTTGAAATGGTCAATAATTTCTTGTATTTTGCTATTACGATCACCTGAATGCCCAAATAGAGCATTTTCAGAAGAACTAGTATTGACAGCTTTCCTCCTATGGATCCTAGAGTAAAGAAATTTTAAATCCTCTTCCCCATTTTTGAGCCATTTGACTTTAGCTCTTTGTTTAACCCAAGTGGACCAGATAGAATTGTAAAACATGAGCTTTGAGTTGATGATCTTAAGGTTATTTCTGAGCTCAGGATTGAGAGGGTCAAAATCTAGGAGAGTTTGACAATCCAGCTGCTGCTGAGTAAGTGAATCAATCGAACTACTAATAGAGTTAGAAGAGTTCCAATTCGCTCCCTTAATGTGTTTTTTAAGTTTCCTGAGCTTGTTATAGAACTGGCTGATGGGATTTCCCTCATAATGGGTCGCAAACACATCTAACAGCACTTCCCAGAAGTTTTGATACCTGGTCCAATGATTTTTGAACAAAAATCTATGGATTTTCTTAATATGCTCTCCAGAATAAATGATAAGTGGTAAATGATCAGAAATAGAAGCACTCAGCACCTTATAATAGGAGTTAGGAAAAGTAGCAATCCATTTTTCATTAACCAGAGATCTATCTAGCTTAATGCTAATAGGATTGTCACTTCTCTGATTATTCCAAGTGAAAAAAATACCCGTGGAGGTAAGGTCAGTGAGAGCCGTATCAAAGATTAGAGTGTTAAAATGACCCATCCTATCAACCGATAGTGGATTACCCCCTGCCTTCTCAGAAATAAAGCGACAGCAGTTGAAATCTCCAGCAACAATCCATGGAAGATTATTAAGTGGATTAATCCTTCTAATATCCTCCCATAAAGAGATTCTCTCATCTTAAGAATTAGAAGCATAAACAATGGACAGGATAATAGTATCATGAGAATAACCAGATAATTTACCGGAGATCATTTGTTTGGAAAAGGAAAAAGTCTCAAAATTGATGCTATCTGGATTCCATTTAATCCAAATTCTGCCAGGAGAGGCAAGATTGAAGTTATTACAACTATTTTCATAGTTGAAAATTTCATGACCTTGGGTGAACCAAGAGTCATTAAGATTGTGATGCAAAATTCTGTTCTCTAAGAGACAGACCATCCCCAAATGGTGATCCTTAACAAGTTTTTTTACACCATTCACTTTATCAGGGTTGTTGAAACCCCTGATATTCCACACTCCAAAGGGTGGAAAAGACATTAGGATTTAGAGTTATTGCTCCTTTTGGAGCCTTTCCCTCTGGTATTGATTTGTTTTAGACTACCCTTTTCAATAGGGCCTTGAGAAGCAGTTTGGGTGCTCGTACTGGGAAGTGAATTCAGTACAGAACTTTGAATGCCAAAAGTCAAATTAGTCTGTGGCTCCCTAACCTGGTTGATTTGGACCTCAGGATCCAGATCTAGATCAGAATTGTCTTGTAAAACAGAGAATTTATTCAAAGATTGAACCACCGGAGATTTAGCTTTAAGAGGAGGAGAAACCTGGGTAGGCGGGTTAGAGGATTCAGAAGAAGAAAGCTCCTCATTAGGGCCATTCAGATTGGGAATGTTAGGTATGATTAGAGGAACCTTGTGAGAGCCTATGATAGAAACTTCTGGGATAACTCTCTGTTCATCCGGGTTGGAAAGAATGCCATTTTGAACACCAATATTCTCTTTGGGTTTGCGACTAGAACTTCGGCCCCGTGGAGGAATAATGGGTTTTTGAGCAAGAGTCTGTGGATTTGGGTTATTCGGACATTCAAAGTTCACGTGAATTAAAGACGAGCAATGTTCACAGGGAATTGGTTTCCACTCATAAAGAATTTTCAGATTGAAAATTTTCCCTTCTACCGGAATAGGAATAAATTCCGGATAAGTAGCCGTAGCATCTACCTGCACACAAACCCTCGCATAAGTCAAACGAGATTTGGTCGCAGTTAGATCATCTACCACCAGAGGAATACCAATTTTAGTTAAAATTTTTGAAATTCCAGTGGGAGTCCAGCAACAAAGGGGTAAATCAAGAATTTTTATCCAGATGGGGACTGAGGTGAACTCTTCCCTTTTAGGGCTAAAAAGAGGCGACCACTTTTGTAGCACGAAAGGCTTACCCAAAATAAACCAGATACCTTTATTCCAGACATACTCAAAGTCCTCGGAAGAAGAAAATTTAAAAAGAAAGAAACCTTCATTCAAGGAGATCATTTTGATGCTACCTTTGAGCTTCCATACCTAGCTAACCGCTGCAAGTAAAGATCCGTAAAAAGGCCTCTTACCCAGCGAGTATCCAACCAAAGCCATATTCCATTCCGAAGAAGCTTCAACCACGTCCTCATGCGCAAACGGGATTATATCTTCTGGAGTTGGAATAGCAGAGACAGCAAACAAGCTAGGGTTAGGGTTAGGGTTGTCAGTAAGGACCCTGGTCCAAGGAAGGGGTTTTTGCGAAGAAACCCCCGTTGGAACAGGTTGCATGTTACGCGAGGGGAGACTGGATGCGCGGAGCGATGGAAAAACAGAGGTGGAGAGGGTGGGATCCATGGATCCCTCCATCAGCACTAAGGCAGAGCACGAGGGAGAGCGGCGGAAAGCGAAAAAAACCCTAGCGGCGCGATAAGAAGCCCTTTTTATTTATTTTGGACTAAAGATTTTTAAACTATTGAAAGACCGAGAGCCTTTTTTTATATGAGTATTTTGTAAATAATAATTTTCTTAGGTTTGACTAAATGTTCCATTGCTTTGATGATTGAATATCAACTAGCATGCTGTTTATATTTGTTAAGAGATCTTTGGTTCCGCCCCTGTAAGAGATAATACCTGAGTCATAGTACTGCATGAATATTTGGCAACAAGTAAAATCCGCAGGTCGATTGGAAAGCTTATTGTGCATATTTGAGACTATATAATATAAAGTTTTTTTTTTTAAATAATATTTTCACCTACGCTAGAAGATTTTCATGTATTTCATTATTTTAACTGCGCACGATACTCGTTTAATGAAATTTTCTTTTCAAAAGATAGTATGGTGACTTTATTTGTATTAGAACTTTATATAAAAATTATAGACATGATAATTTTATTGCATGCACTTGCAGTTGTGTTCATTCTATAAAGGGAGATTAGTTCAAGATTGTATATATGCTTCCACCATTTAATTTATAGTTTGCTTTTGTAGAATGATCTTTGGTTAAAAATGGACAAGAGAATAATTGCTTATAAGAGAGGGTTATAAATGCTTTTTATCTATATTTTGCACTTAGTGTGCATGCTCAAATCAATGTGTACGTCCACGCCTTAGTTTAATGTTCGGCTCTTATTACCCCATATCATAGCATTCAATTAGATTTGATTGTATGCTCTCATATCTCATGACCAATTGGACATCTCCAAATTTTAAATAAGAAGATAAATAAGTATATATATATATATAGAAAAGGAGGGGGGTAAAGCAAGTTCAGATTTAGTGGGATATGTATCATGTACACCTATGCTTGATTCCTGTCTATTGATATCTTCATCCTATAAGTGGCGATCAAGTGAAAACATGTGATTTAAAAAAATATATATTCTTGAAAATATTTTCTTTGAAGCATATCTTATTTGTTTGTTTTACTAATTTGTGGCATCTTATAACAAACCTGAATTTGATATGGTGGTTAGAGTTTAAGAGTATTTGATTGCTCATTTCATTGCATACATAAGTCAAGTTTGGTTCTAATCACTACAAGAAAAGAAGTCATTGCTGGCGGCCGAAATCTACCGGTAACAACTGAAATGCTCCAGAATAAATTGGTTTCCTGAGGATTTCCGACGTAAATTCTTCCGCCGTTAAATCATGCGTCGGAAATTTTTACCGTCACATTATTTTCGCTGGAAATATTTTTCGGCATATTGTTCTCATTTCCTGACGTTTTTTTTTTTTTTACTTCAGTCGCATTATCCGCCGACACCTCCGGCAAAAATGTTTCGATGGAAATACCGGCGGAGATTCCGTCATAGATAAACCGATGGTTCTTTGCCATCAAATATTACGTCGAAATTAACGCCGGAAACTACGTATCGTATTACCGATAATTTTCTAGCAGAATATCCGTCAGAAACTTGGAGCATGAAGAAAAAAAAACTTCCTTTCTTTGAAAAGTGAAATCCATAATTAAACTTGCATAAAAGAAAATTCAACACAATATGCATTTATACATCAAATTCTGATCAAGAACATCACTAATTACGTAATTAAACATATTCAAGCAACAAATAACTAAACATGTACACAATAAACATAAACAAGATGTTCAAACAGCAAATATATAAACATGATAAAAAACAAATAAAAATATATGTCCACATTAGTAAAATAAATAAATAACATCTACTCTGATTCAGTTTCATCCTTAGTTGATGTTGTACTCCTCCCACTACTCATCTGCTCCCTCATCTTTCACATTTCTTCTAACATTTGAGCCTGCTGCTGCTGCATTTGCATATGCCAATCAGCATGTGCTTTCCTTACCTGTAAGGACAGCTATCTGTTGGGTGTATAAAGTGTCATAGGTACTAGATGAAAAACTGGAGCCATTAGATGTCTGCTTTTCATATGCATAGGCTTGCGAGCCTAACCTGTATACTCTATCGTGTTATATTCCTCCTACCGCTTACAACCAAATGCGGCAGTCAAAATATTCTGCTAATCCAGCTTATGCATATCACTAGCTAATTCCAACACATCAACAACGACAACAACATCAAGCCGTTGTCCCACTCTGTGGGGTCGGCTACATGAATCCTTTTTCGCCATTGTGTCCAGTTAAAAATCAAATTCTAATTTAAATCTAATAAAGAAAGATCATTTCTAATATTTTCTAACCAAGTCTTTATAGGTCTACCTCTACCTTTTTTAACATAAGTCAAATCTAATACCTCAACTTTTCTAATCGGGGTCATCGGAAAGCCTCCGTTTAATGTGACCAAACCATCTAAGGCGACTCGCTCTAATCTTATTTTCCACTAGAGCTACTCCAACATTTTCACGTATATGCTCATTTCATTTCAAACACATGATGATGATTAATGCGCAACATTACAAGAGAAAGAAAGAAAGTTACCTACACAACAAGTTAGCTCCCGTTAAAATGTCATAACTTCCGATCCAATATGAAGGGAATTAGGTCATCGAAGGAGCGGAGCCAAACAAGTTACCTACATAGCAAGCGATCAATGGTTAATATGGAAGCTTGGTCATCGAAGTAGCGAAGTCAAACAGCGTGAAAGGGATAAAGTTACCTACGAAGAGGGAGCAAGTTAAAGGAGCGAAGTCAAACAAATTTGGAGCAAAGTCGAACAGCGACCAAGGAGCAAGTTGAACCGCGATGAAGGAGCAAAGTAGAACACCGTCGAAGGAACAAGTCAAAAAATGATGAAGGAGCAAATTCAAATAGCATCGGAGCAAAGTTGAATAGCATCAGAGAGAAGTTGAACAGTGAAGTCGAATGGCGTCAAAGGAGTGAAGATGAACAGCGAAGTCGAACAATGTCGAAGGAGTGAAATCGAACGGTCGATCGATCGAAGGAGCGAAGTCAAACTACGTTGAAGGAGGAACCGTGTCGGAGGAGCGAATTCGAACAAAGTAGCTAACAGAGGAAATGAGAAGGCAGGCCTAGCAGTTTGCCAGATATTAGATTATTACCGATGTTTTTCTGACGGACTATCTGACGGTCGGTTTATCAGCGAAACTTTCGTCGGTATTATTTCATCATGTTTTAATTAAGCTAACTCAAACTATCCTCCGCCGGAAAGTCCACCGTAAAGTTTCCGATGAATGTTTTCATTGGAACTTTTGTCACAGTTTTCGGTGTATATTAATCCGCAGGAAAATTCTGACGGTAATAGGTCATTTTCCTGTAGTGAATGATTTGGTCTCTATACTTATGAGCACATATGTTTCATGTCAAGGCCATCACACATGTTTGTAATTGTGTCAAATTCATGTACATGTTCCATGCCATTTGGTAGAATGCTCATTTTATAATCTCATTAATATGAACGTTCTTAGTAAGGTTTCATTATAATTTCATCAAAATGAACATGTTTAGTAAAGTTTAGTGTTATAAATTTATTATGATTTCATCAACATGAACATGTTTAGTAAAGTTCTAAAAAAATAGTGCTACATTCAAAGTCATGCTTGGATATCATGTGTTGAGTGAAACCAAAAAATAAATAAATAAAAATGTGTTGAGTGAAACCATATATTTGTTGGCAAAGATATTTATGAATATGCTAAGTCATGTAATATAGAGTTGCATGTTTATGTTGATTAGCTTTCATGTATTTCATGTATGTGTGAGTGAACTAGCAAAGACTCATATGTCTCAAGTGTAATTCCCTTTACCTATGTTAATATGATTTCAAATATCTTATATTTTGGTAGTTGTTTGCTAACCATTATAAGAAAGAACCTTCACGCTCTATATATATAATTTTGTTTGACGATTCAAATACGTGCATTACCTTATATGTCATCATCACTCGCTTGTATATTTTTCACATATATGTTATCTTTCTCTTTTTCTATGCATTTGAGATGAATTTCAAAGTCACAAATTTTGCTTACTTGTTTCTCATTAATGAATGGCATCTACGCTCACCTATATATTTCTCTTTTTGTTTTATCTTGCGAGGTACCTTGAGTTTTGTGTATGCAATGGTTGTTGAGTCATCCGGGTCAGGTATACCTTGATAGTCATGTAGAGACTTCTCATTACATTGCCGAACGGTTACACATTAGCACACATTTGACTGCTTTTACTTTCTCACCCAAATATTCTTGTTAGGATGTTTATTTAGTTAGTCATAGGTTAGTTCACTAATGAAGCCTTAGCCTTGTGGGCCAAAGCTTGCCCCTTGTCATAAAACCTAGAGAACCTAATGGTCATTTAGGTCTGTAGTGTAGGCCATCTATATGTGTCATATGCATCGTTTTTCCCACACGAAGTGGGCATCATTAGGATGATTTTTTTTTAGATTTTAAAAAATGTAAATAACTCTAAAAGATTATTTCTTAATGATTTTTTAGCCTTTAAATTTGTATTCCATAAGCATGTTAAGAAAAATATATAAAATAGAATAAAAAAATTTGAGCTTCGGTATGTTTAAGAAGATATGTAGGTTAGTATTATTTGTTGGATATCCTTGTGAATAATATATTTAGCTTTTTTTCTTATTTTTGAACCTAGTGTAGCACCTCTTCTTTTGATTTTCATTTGCTCCAAAAACTCCTAAAAGTTACAAAATCAACTAATAAAATACACTAATAGATTTGTAATTAATCTTAAATCATTAATGAACTCACTATAATGATAACCTTTCACTAAAATTCATTAAACAACAAACATAAAACTTAATAACAAAATGATTACCTAGCAACCCGAGCCTACGAGGCTATTAACATAGCCACAATGAGGGTGAAATAAACCTCATGGACCTAGTTTAACAAGGATAATTATCACTTAACTTAAGTAAATAGTAATAAGCTACAAATATACTAATTCATGCAA